TACCAAGTGATATTGTCTTAGATTCATGAAACACTGATTCTCATAAGATTAATTCACAACACAAAAGTATACTTAATATTCTTGCAAATCAAAACAACCTATTCATATCAGCATTATCACTCTCTTTTATTCATTAGCAGGTAGCTAGGAGAGCTTTTATTCAATAGACTGTTCATGAAAAAAAGTGATTGCATTCTAGCATGTGCAAGTGTTTTTTAAAAGCTCTTTGTGGGCTGTGGATCTGGAGAGAATGGAGAAAGAATTTGACAGCAAGGAAAAGAGTGGGAAGCAGTTGCTAGGAGACAGAGAAAGATGGGTGATACTTTGCACCGACAGCAGCACTAACATGACATTGATGTGTTTCAGGATAATGTGTTTGCATTTAAAAGCCAGAGGAATACCCAGTCATCTGGGTGCATGTTGAACATACTCTCCAACATGGAGAGAGCAACTCTTTTCTGCTGTGTCTGTGGCACTGTAAGGGGAATCTGTCCTTTAAAATTGCGTATTATAGCATGTCCTGATAGATCAGGTGGCATCTGATTAGTCATACTTTGCAAAACCTAATTTAGTAAAGCTTTATCTAGTGCCCAAGAAAATAGAAGTACATTGAAGGACCATATGAAATTTTAGTACGTTATTTTTGAAGTGACAAACACAATCTCACTGCAGTAGTGCTTACTTCTGTGAACCATAGTTACTCACTTACTGGCTTTGTCTTCCAGACAAAAAGCATGTAATGTTCTAATGATTAATTTGCATTCACGATACCAAAAAAAAATAAATGAAATTGTCAGATAGAAATAGTCTGCATTTGTTCCAGCTCCTTTTTCTCTAACAAGACAGTGACCAGGACCAACACCCTTTTCCTGCATCTCTCAGAAATGAGGATGATTCTGCTTGTATTGTTTGCTGTAGCATAAAGTTGAAGAGGTAATCTAATACAGTATATGGCTTTTCAGAGGCTTTGGCTGTAGCCTCATACTTAAATTCAAAGGTTATTCAATTTGTTTAGGAAAACATTAATGCAATTATTAACTGGTAAATAATGTTCAGAGTAAAATATTTTTGAAGATTCAACCTATGCATATCATACAGGTTAATATGGCATTTATAGCCTGTATTCTTTCCTGGAATGTGAATGACCAAAACTGAAATCTTTAATCAGGTTTCATGTCTTTCCTCGAGTTTATTTTGAAACCAATTGAAGACCAAGAAAGAAATTTAAAGTGAGAAAAGAAGTTACCTTTTTGGGGCTATGAACCAGAACAGATTTATCCTTAAGATTAGAGCACTGCTGTAGCACTTTTCCTCTTTTTCTCTGATAGTATCAATCATTTCCCTCAACTTCAACAGCCACTATATATGTGGTTGAACATGAAGAATTAATTGCAACATTGCCGATGTCCCCATGGCAAACGTGAATCTGAATTAGTCATTCACTAGTCAGATGAAAAGAAAAACTAAGTCTCTCGTGCCAAGGCAGAGTTGTTCTCAGTTCCTTTAGCAGCTCTTACATTCAGAGAACAAATAAGAGCCATCAGACTGCAATTTTGGTTAGGACATTATAAAAAAGGCAGTGCATTAAGTGTGTACGTAGAAAGGAGGGAAGGCAAAGCAAAGGAAACAACTTTCAGCTGTTGCTGTGTGTCACACTGGTACTGTTGCATGGTACTAACAATGGGCTGAGTGAAAAAATGGATTTGAATATAAGAACTCTATAGTCAAAACAAAGGCATTAATTCTTTACCTATTTATTCTGCTGTAACACATAAAAAATATGTTCCTAAATTTTATCTGAGACAAATGCCTATTATATCCAGGCAGTGTTGTTTTCAGGCTTTAAAATGTCCATATAAAACCCACTACAATTCAGTTGTACAGGGCTAAAGTTAAGGATAATTTTTTTATGATTCAAGCTCCTTGTGAAGCTGTGACATCCTCAGTAATGCAGCCTAATTGGTTTGCAAATTCTAATACTACTCAAAGTGAATGCCAGTGTTAGATATAACATTTTTTTAAACATACATTCACATTTATAAAATACTCAAATGCATGGAGGTTTCAGGAAACTCAGGAAATTTTAAAGTAAAATTACTAACTCGTTGTATTTCATTTCAGCTATTAACAACTGCTGTCTTGTGAATTTTCTCTTAGTCATCTTGTCCCTCAGCAGTGCTTACAGCCAAGATGACTGAAGCCAGATAGATGAATGTCATATTTCTATGTATTTTTTCCTTCTAAGCTGAGTTTTCCATTAAGAAATTGCTGTCTGCCAGCTCCCACTATGGTTAGAGGTATTGCAATCTGTCCTCTTGAAGACAGGACTACATCCCTCACTGGAACGACATGGACTTTAATAGTGGAGAGATAGTGAAAGACAGGAATGGTGGTGGGAAGAGAAGCAGGATATAGAAAGAGTTTTGTGATCCCCGGAGGAACTGGGGAACCTCTGGGAAGACAGAGAGCATGGTAGGAGTAGCGAGAGATACATGAGTACCAATCAGTGGACTAATACTGCCTTGGACTTTTTGTCCATCTGGATAGGGCAACTCTTAGAACTGACAGAAGAACTGGAGAAATAATACTGTTTTTCAGGCAGAACATGATTTAAAAAACAGGAAAAGGAAAGGCAAATTAACTGAGAGATACTTTTTTAGCTATTTAAACAATTAAGGGTTTTCAATTGCAGCCAGAATAATGAATGCCTTATATATTTGTTGTGGACTGTTTTTATGAAAAATATAATTCGATGGAAATTATGAATAAATTAGAAATTGTAAATGTAATACTTCAAATTAATTTTACATAATACAAGTGTATTAGAGCTATAAAATATTATGTAAAATGACTTTGATGATAGCTTATGTACTACCATAAATCTTAAGCTTTATGAGGATATTTCCCAGGAATTATGTAGCTCATTTTGTAAAGTATGCTTTATAATTACAGATTTTTACATACATCTTTGATGAAAAATAGTATAAAAAATTAATAAATAGCAAAAACATTTTGGGTTCCGTTATATATTTTTACTGCATTCTGTTATTCTGGCGTATGAAAACAGTTGAAATAGTAATAAAATTTTGTAGTGATTTTCACTCATATCAATGCCATTCAAAGATGGCTAAGTCATTGCCACTTCAAGATGGTTTAAACTTCATTTGCCTCAGATGAGGAGCAGGCACAGTCAGTTACTGCAGCTCAGCTATTGATTCCATAGTCACAGCCTATGGAAATACTCATTTAAGCTACAATACGCATCTTTGGGAACAACAACAGATGAGGTTTTTTCACTCTTAATTAATAAATGGGACTAAAAAATTGAGGCTACTTTCTATTCTTGAGAATGTCTTAGTATTTCTTACACCTTAACAGTGTTGAACTAATTTTTCTTTTTCTCCTTCCGTTCTGTTAAGGCTAGCAATATTTAGTGTGTAGTAAAACTATAGTTACTTGAGACTATTCAAATAATGTGAGTACATAAAACACATTTTCCATTTTTGTTTCTTTTAGTAAAACTGAAGTATATAAAGAGGAATAAAGAACTCGAAGTAATGTGTAAACAGCTATATGTGCATTTATTAGAAAGGCTGTAAAATTTTTTGCATTAATTTTAATGTATTTCATCTTTAGATTTAGTTTTAAAGTTTAGTAAGTGTCCTATGCTGTAGTTTTTCCAATTCTCATATATTGAAGTATAAGCCATTCTTGAAATGTAGTGAGTCATTTGCAAAATTTTACTTCTATCAGTAGTAGTGGAAAATAAGATATGTACCAAAAGGATTTATTTATTAAAATAAGAGGTATCACTGGAAAAAGTATAAAATATTTAGGACATACACAACCTTTTCAGAGATCTCTTGTATTTGTCAAGGTTGTGAAAACATCTGTACATGCATGAAAATGTACAATGCTCCATTGTACATGAAAGATTTTTTTTTTTTTCATTTGTTTGCTTTCCAGCTACATCTCTTGGTCTAATAGAATATGCTAACTTTTCCTACAGACATTGCTAATAGCCTTAAATATCCTTGGATCATCAGCTGGGAGAGCATTGTCAGACAACGTGGTCAGAAACATTTCCTCAGTGTTGACTGACTAGCTAGGCTGTAAAGTCATTCAGTGTGAGGTAATGTAATAAAGCTAGGTAGATTAGAAGAGAAGTTGCCATAGGCTTCCTTCATAGTCAGGAAAGAGTCACTACAGGCAGCAGGGAGGGTCACTTTAGCTCTGATTTGCCTTTGATCATATTGGGAGACTGGTGACAACACTGCTGGCTTAGGTCGTCTATTGCTACCTGAACTGACGCTGAGACAGAGCACTCAAAACCCAGTAAACATGTCTTCAGTGATTCTAAATTAGTATTATTTATTAATAATTAATATTTATTAATAAATACAACCGTAAAAAATAATAGTAATTGAGTAGATCATAGATGTCCTTAGGGCAGAATAGGTCATCTATGAAACTGGTTCAAACACGGCAGTCTTTTCTGCTTATGAGAGTGTGTCTTGTTTATGACTTTTTGCAAAACCCAAACAAACTGCATGAAACTTGAGTATGTGTGCCTGAAGGCAATGCTGCAAGTTATTTTTCCAATTAATTTGTTGCATTCAATTAGTATGAACAGATTACCTGTCTTCCATGGAGTGGGCTTAGAACATCTGCAAAGACTTTTTTTTCCTTGCCCTTTGTAAAAGATGCTTGGGAACAATGTTTTATTTTTGTACCTAATACGGTCTTATAATATTTGCAATTACTGTGCATTCCATAAAATTTTAGGCAAACTGTGGAACAGCAGTATGACATTTAAGGTTTGACACCTATTTTCATGGGTTAATTCTTCCTATAGTTAGGTTTAAATGTTTACTACACAATATGTCTCATGAAAGGATGCAACACACATGCCTGCAAATGAACTGGCATATGGCAGTTTATATAATCTTTAAATACTGATAGAAATTACGTTACTGCACATATTTTGATTTTTCTTCTAGGTAAGGGAACGACTGAGGGTTTCTTTAGAAAGAGTCTCTGCACTGGAAGAAGAACTAGCTGCTGCTAACCAGGAGGTAACATAAAACACTTTATCCCCTTTTGAGGTTTAGTTTCTCTAATACTCTGTCCCATGTGTTCCCTATCACTTTTATTAAAACTGTCAGAAAAAAAAAAAAAGATAAATTACATTCTGATCAAGCTGCTCAGTGAGCCTTGTTTGAGGTGGTTGTAAGATTAATAAAACCTTGTGTTTACTGATTTATCCCCCTCCTCCTATTCCATTGAAAGCAATCCAAAATCCAAGAGCTAGTAACAGTTTCCCAAATTTCTTGTTGGACATGAAAAAGCAGTGAACCAACAAATATGTCAGATACTATAAACAATTTAATAATTTGAATTTCCATTTTACCCTAAAATTAATTAAAATGCACACACGTATAAATTATATAAAGGACGGAAGAATTATGGATGACCTTGAAATCTAGTTTGTCTCTTCCCTTTTAATTGCAGTGTGTCGTGTTGAACTGTGGTGCCATATAACTCTTGTGAACTTGGACGAGAAATTTTTTTCCTGTATGGTAGTTTGCAGACTGTTCAAAACGGTGAACAGCAACACAACATTTTATTGTACACATATGTAGAAAGGAATTCTGCTCCCCAGAAAGACAATTCTGACACTGGAAAATATAAATAATGAAGTCTGCTGGTACCTTTACTGTTCCCAACATGTTCTCAGTATTCACCTTGTGTGTGCTTCCTACACTGTTAAAAATAAGTCAAACAAGGAATAGAATTGGTTTAAAGCTATTTTGGGTTATGTCCATTTGCTGATGTCATTTTCCTCAAGCCTAAGACAGAAACTGAACACAGACACAGAAAATCTTAGAGTACTACCAAATAATTCTGGAAAATTTGATTACCTGCAATTCAGAATAATATGTGGTAATGTAAAATAGAGACTCCAAAAGTCTTTTTTTTCCAATACAAAGCAAAGGAATATTAATTTCTTAAAGTAAATTCTTAAAAAAAAAAAGGATTTGCAATTAAGATATTAGTACTTCCTTTTTATAAACTATGAACTAGATATTTTGAATCAACTCTTACTTCTCTGAAGCAACTGCATTTTATCAGAGCAAAAATAAAATCTCTTTTTTATTCTTCCATTTCATAATGTCCAGAAAATTGGGGTTCAACTTCTTTTAGTTACACTGTGCTGCATAATCTGTTATTTGCACTAGTGTTAAACAGAAAGCAGTCCTTTGGGTCAGTCAAGACAACTGAGATGCAGTGGGCTCCTCTAATCCCTCCCATTCATGATCCAATTAAATTCAAGTTCACTTCACTGCACATGGGACCAGGTCTTTAGAGCATTGCTTTGTTATTTGAATTTTTAAAAAATTAGTGGAACTTGTATTGACAGTAAGGAGTAAGAATGTATGCAATGAAGTTAAGATGAAATAGCCTTTCTTGCCCCAAATCTTCATAAATATTGTACAAACTTTGTGTCTACTTGATACTAAAAACATTTAGATGGACATTTAATCAAACAAGCATAATATGACCATTAACACTGTGAATATCGTGTGAGGAACTGCTAATGCTGAAAAATGGAAATTCAATAATGAAAAAAAGAGCTAGATATGAACAGATGTGGAAGAGAATGTGTGGTTTATCTTCAGTTAATGTATTTGAACAAGAGTTCAGATAATGTTCACAAAATTAGTTATTTAATTGAGACCAAATTAATTAGAGTACTGCAATATATAAGCCTGTTTTTATACTAGGTTCCATGGTGAATACATAGGAAATAAAGGGCTTTAAGTTTATTATAATATATATGAAGATAAATGAGCCAAATTTCCAAGGGAATTGATATATGTTTTTCAGTAATTTCTGTATTCCTGTCACTCTGTTCTCCCGAAAGAACTAGTATTTTCTTTCATATCCATTTTTTCATACCAATTCTAAGAGTGTAATGCATATTCAGGACTATATCTAAACATAAAATGATGACAGTAAATTGGTCCCCTGATTAAATGAGTATATGATCTGGTTTGTAACAAGTATCAGATTTTATCAGGGATAAAAAGTAATAGGAATGTATACGCTAAGACAGCACCTCTCTCTGAAAGGTCATGGCTGTGGCTCTGGACACAGAGCAATGATAAGAAACGGCAGACACTCATGAGTACTTATTGGAAATATCCTTATATAAAAGAGGAAAATAGAGAGAGAGACTGTAGCTTTCCATCATTACATGGTACATAAACTCTCATTTAACAGTCTTTGTAGCATATTACATGCATATGAGAGGGAGTGAAAGTATCTGTAACTCTCCAAAGCTGGTTTTAGCTCTAGTTGCCAACACCATCTTACAAAGCACTTCATTTTTGAAAGGGAGTAGTAACACACATTGACTTTAAACTGCAGGGGCAATTGAGATGGACTGTTAGACCCTTTGGGGGAGCTTAGGTTGTGTAGTTAATATTTACACACAGTCACACAAAGGTAGTAGAGAACGGCTTTGGTCTGCAGTTCCAGCAGTGACTACTGATACAGCGTGTCAGTTCAGCTGAACTTCTCAGAAACAAGAATGTGCACCAAATGGTTTATTGCTGGTTTGATTCTGTGAAAGTAATTTTCTATTAAAAAATGAGTAAGTAAGTTCATTTCCTTTTCACAGAAATGTTACACAGAAATGATTTCATGGAATATTTTTAATACCCTAGCAATTACACTTTGTAATATTTCCAAAAAGTCAATTCTCTTTATTGCTGTTTTGATTCTGTGAAAGTAATAGTTTCTATTAAAAAATGAGTAAGTAAGTTCATTTCCTTTTCACAGAAATGTTACACAGAAATGATTTCATGGAATATTTTTAATACCCTAGCAATTACACTTTGTAATATTTCCAAAAAGTCAATTCTCTCTGTAAATTACAATATAAAATATAAATCAACGTACCAAGACAATACTTATGTTTGCTTCAGGTGTAACAGCAATTTTATAGGGGTATAATTGACCAGTTACAGTGAATGTTCTACTGAATAAGAATACTTTAAATTGTGTCAAGCTGAAAGATACTAGCAGCGTTCATCAGCTTCTCATTAAAACATGTTTACAAACACGAAATATTATTCTGTATCTTACAGAGCACAGAATTCAGCTCAGAATTAAGTATCTTGAATTTCAGTGTCTACGTGTGAGCTGGTATCTAAAATTTGACTGTAGTCCATGGAGCTCTAGTAAATCCAGTCTGCCAGCTACCCTGGTGGTTAATCTGACAGGAAAACTACATAAAATTGGCAGGAGAACTGTGTCAGTCTAGAGCTAGAGGTGGGGAAGGAATACTCTTTGTCACTATGATGCCACCAAATAATGCCTGTCTCAGGTAACTGACCCTCACAACAAGCTCGCGTGTAGATACCTAATGCATAGACAGCAAAATTTGGGTGTCTTACTCTTCACAAATAACAGAAGCTCTCTGAGTCAGGGAGTGAGCTTCTAGATTTGGGGAGCTACAAAATGGGCCTAAATTATACTGAAAGAGTGGATTGAAAATTCTTTAATGTATGTTTTGCTGGGGCAAAATGTTATTTGGCTAAATTTTATTTTGCTGCAGCTGATTAGTGACAGTAGAAGGGACCTTTAAACGCGGCAACCACCTGAATTGCTGTTAATGAGTTTTCATGCAGACTGGGGCAAGATACACTGTCTACAGTAATTAAATTCCATAGTCATCCTTATAATATTTGCTTTATATCAGCAGTTATCACACAATGTACCGAAAATTATCACATTTTTTCCTTTTACACTTATGCTGGAAGACATTATTTGTTCACAACTCATAGATGTCCTCTTCATTCTGTCCATTGTAGCTAAGATGAATAGTAGATATTGTTAACAATGTTCTGAAAAATTTACCTCCTGTATTTAGTTAAAATTACTGTAGAACATAGCTACGTTTGCTCATCTCTCAGGTGCTTTTAAAATTATGTTGGTTTTCATCTCATTCCTCATAATCCATGGTCTTGCCAAAGCTTTGTCGCAGAAGGTTGTAATCTGCATTTAGCAATTAGACAAGCTGCAAGTGATGCATCCAGTACTAAAGCTCAGTGGTACAATAGTGTCTGTCTATGAACATTTTTAAGGCAAATGTGTTATTTTTCAGTGAGTACAAGAACATGTTCAAATTCCAGCAAGGTTATGCTAAGCAGCTTCCTTTTTACACACTAATTTGAAAAGAATGTGTCTCATCTGCAAAGGAAGTGGGATGTGATTTTTTCTTTCCATTTTGTCATTTATGATCTTCATGGAAATTAATGTCGAAATTACTGACGAGATAACAACTTTTGTTCCACAGCTTTTGAGATCCTCTTATTAGCATTATGAGTGTGAGTCTTTGTTAAAAGTATGCAAAACTACAGCATGTGCAAACAACACACTAGGATATTTCCTTAACACTATATATCACCAGCAACTCAAACTCTCTTGGCTTCCACAGGGCAAGGATACATAGTTTATAGACTATGGCCTATAGTGATGCTTTTAAATCCGTTTCTGCTTCAATTTCCAGTGTTAAATGACAACTGTTGCAATTTCCATTAACAGATTTCACTGTTTCCCAGAACTCTCAACAAATAGTTTCCAAAAAAAATCACCTTTGGAACTTTTTCCCAAGGCTTGTATGTAAAATTAAGCTTTAGACGTAGTTAGTACTGTACTGGGGAAAAGTAATTTTTTTAATGACTGCACTGACTTTGCACATGAATTTTCTCCTGTCCATCTTAAATGTTTATCCATCCTTTCTAAAATCTTCCTGTGTTTATAAGAATCCTATGATACGCAGCAATCCAAAATCCTTTTTTTTTTTCTGGTTAGTAAACTGGCTTTCCATGTTTTCTCACTAGTACAAAATGTGGCATGAAAAATACAGCTTTAATTATATTTATTATCTCAGAGATGTACTTTGCTAACCCAAAATACACTGAGACTGGGTAGAACATGAAATTGGAGAAATTACTGGCTTGATTTTATATATCCCTGGACTACCATACACTTAAGCATTTGTCAA